CAAAGCTAATATCTTAAAAACTTTATTAATAATCTTTATTTAAACAAATTGTATATATTAATATAGTTATAAATAATTTTTTTTTTTTTTTTTTTTTTTTTGGTATTAAGGTAATCTCTTTGGTCTGGGGAACTTTTTATTAGAGTATAGACAAAGTTTTGTATATAATTACAACAATGGTACATCAAGCCACACGTGCATCTTTTGAGTGTCTATTTAAGTAGTCCGCCTGAAGGTTCTACACTATCTGTCATACCTGTGCCCCAACTAGGGGGGTACCCATTTAAACCATCTGGTTCTAACTACCTCCATCAGCCCTCTAACCCGATGAGTTTCCTCACTATTCATACACTAGATTTTAGTATCACCCAATATGGATTTTGCACTCTACCTTAGAACACTTAACTATCCTCGAGGTAAACCTAACACAGTGGTACATGTTCTATACATGTATTCACATGCTTGTTCCTATAACTTTTTTCTAATTAGTACATATTGACCTGCTATTCCGTATTTGTATCTCACGCCACCTTTTGGGGTGCTACCATTCTACGGACATTTCTCAAGCACTAACCTTCCTAATTAGGCGCCCATTACATACTCCTGCCCTTGTAAGGTTCGCACAACCCCAGTGCCTACATTCGGACTTTCTTTCTTCCTTGGATTCTTTTACCGGTCTCTTCCTTACTTCCAGCCGGCAACCCGGAAGGGTCAGTCTGCCCAGGCTTTAGGTGCCTTACAGTCTCCCTCTCCTTGGTACATGCTTCCAGAGCACATGTCCTTTTCCTCCAGTTGGTGACCTAGCGGTTCGGCTAGTGTGTCCCCCCTTCAAGAACCTGGTCGCTTGGTTCTTCAGTCTCAGTCTCCAATTCCAAATTTGGTCTTCTTGTAGCACCATCAAAGATCATGCTACCTCCCTACTCGAGACTTGCCAAACGGGTTTTCGATAATTCCGGTTTCCTGGATTTATTGCGCCGAAGCTTCCATTTGAGATGGTGTGATCAAGATTACAAATATCTGGATCCAACCAATAATCTTAACATTAACCGATACAGATCTAGTATTTTCAAAATCGTCATCCATGGGATTCGAACTCTAGACCTGCCACTTGGGGATGCAGCAACCCCACCACTTCACTAGATCGTCACACCCTATAATGATCTTTTTTATATTGCTTATCAGTTTTACAATATACTTAATAAAAATTTTTTATATATTATTATATCTGGTAGTTATTTTTGAATTGATAAATTAATATGCCAATAGATTTTTTTTTTTTTTTTAATATTAAAGTAACTATTTAGGCCTCTGGCACATAGCTTTATTTAGATAGTTATGATATTATATCAAATTTATGAGGATACAACTAGCCACACATGTACTTTTGTATCTAATTTAAGTAGTTTATCTAGGTTCTACACTAGCTGCTATACCTGCAAACTAACTAGAAGATTATCTATTTAAGCTCTTTGATTATTACTAATGAGAGTATGACTAGCCATATATATAACTTTTGGTTATCTATTTAAGTAGTCTGCTCTAGATTCTACACTAGCTGTTGTATCTGCACCCAACTATAAGAGATACTTATTTAAACTCTTTGGCTCTATTTCTGTAACATGTCTACTTTAACACTCTATTAAGATTAGCAATATCATAAAATGATTCTAAGACTTTAGCTATATGAGTATTTATCTTTATAGTAAATCTAATAGTGTGGTATATATTCTATATATGCACTTACCTGCATGTTTGGTAACTTTTTCCCAACTAGTACCTGTTGTACTGCTACTACTGGGTTCATATCTCAAGCTATCTTTTCAGATACTGCTATAACCTAATCCATATCTCAAGCTACAATCTTTCTAATTAGTTCTCACTTATGTACTCTTGTTCTTGCAAGATTTATAACAACCCTGGTACCCATATTCCAACTTTTTTCTTTTTTTGGATTCCTTACCGGTCCCTCCCTTACTTCTAGTCAGCAATTTGAAAAAGTTGGTTTGTCCAGGCTCTAAGTGCCTTACAGTCTCTCTTTTCTTAATACATGCTTCCAAAGTACAAGTTCTTTTTTTCTGGTAGCAAGCTAGCGGTTTAGCTGGTGTGTCCTTCTACTTAAAAACCTGTTGCTTGGTTCTTCGATCTTAGTCTCCAGTTTCAAATTCAGTCTTTCTGTAGCACCGTTAAAGATTACTACTACTTCCCAACTTGGGGCTTGCCAAACAGGTTTTTAGTTATTCTAGTTCTTTGGATTTATATGCCAAAGCTTCTATTCTAGATAGTATGATCAAGATTATAAATTAGGATCTAACCAATTATGATAGCTATTAACTATATCACAGAGCTATTTTTCGAAAACATCATCTATGGGATTCAAACTCTAGACCTGCCATCTGGGAGTGTAACAACTCCACCACTTTACTAAGTCGCTACACTCTCATATGCTAATAGATTTAAAAAATTGATAAAAAACTATTTTAATAAAAATATCAAGAAAGTTTTATTTAGTTGAAATTGAATTTAAAGTTATTACTAATACTAAAACTAACTTGGCTTTATAATTAGATCTTGTAAAACTCTTCTGAATTTGTAAAAAAAAAAATTTCTAATAGTAATATGCTAATAGTTATAACTATATTATAATTAACTAAACTGTAATTTTATAGTAATAGAACAATTATTGCAGATTTGTAGTTTAGTAGTATAGATATATGGGATAAAGTCAATAGAAAAGAAACAAATTTTTTTAAGTAAAAGTTTTCTTGATTTTAAACTTAAATATTTTAGCAATTATCTTATTAAATTTTATAATTTTTTTTTATTTTAATTTTATATAATTCCAAAATTAAACTAAAAAAAAATTTAGCAAATTTGATTAATTAGTTGTTGAAATATTTTAATTTAAAAATAAAAAAAATTGTACTAAAAATGATTTGTTCCTTTTTTATTGACTTTACCAAATATATTTTACTTTGTATAAATATAGTTTTTATTCAATTTTATAATTAAAAAAATATCATTATTGGCCAAAACATATTTCTTTTGATATTACAGATGTTTTAGAAAATAAATATAGATTATTTAATAGTAGAACAGGAAAATTTAATAATATTAATCTTACTTTATATTCTCTTTGTAATTATAAAGATATGGTAGTTGCTTAACAACAAACTTCAAACCTAAAATAAAGCAATATATTAAAAAATATGATAATATAAAATTTTTAAGATCTGCTCTTTTTAATAAATTTAATAAATACAGATTTACTATTGATATACTTAACAATTTGCATAATAATGCTCTTTCTTATTATAATATTCTTTTAACAAAATGTTTTAAAATTATATCCTTGCTTTTTATTTTATTGTTACTAAAGCAAATAGTTATTCTGCATATTATTAACTTGTTCTAGATAAAAAGAATACAAAACATATAAATTTTCACAAAAAATTAATCAATTCAATTTTTGACTATTATTCTGATAGAAATGTGGGTGAATAAACTAAAAAAAGATGAAAAAAAGAAAAAAAATCATCAAACATAATCTTATCATCTCAGGTATAACCCTGCAACCAAAAAGCTTAAAGAGAAACATGTTTAATGTCATTGTTTACATTGCCATAAACATATAACTATTTGTTGTACCTGTTTTGATACAAAAGCTTTGTGCACAAATTGCTGGGCCAATCACATTCATGATGTGTATGGTTCTACTTCTACAAGGTTGAAACTTTTTTTATAGATTCTTCTATGTTTGTTATATTTGTTCTACAATACTCTAAATTTTTAATTGATAATTTTTTTTAATAGGTCCCGGGAAGGTTTTGAATAGTGTACTACGCGTAGTACACCCTTCTTGCAAAATTTTCCCGTGTGTTTAAGATTATGTAATTCGTTAACTACATAATAAAAATAAAATACAATTATCATATAAAGTAACTTTTAATGATTTTCTCAGTAAAATATATTTTAAATTTTATAAGTTTTGAGCCTTCTACGAATTTTATAAAGTGTACTACCAGTAGTACAAAATGTGAAATCCTAACCATTATCATTAATATAAATTTAAACCAATTTAAATAGGTTAACATAAATAAGCAAAATAATTATGATACTTTTGTTTTTTATTAAGCAAAATGTTCAAGAATCTTTTTTCAAATGAGCAATATTGCGATCGCACAAATCAGGCCATCTGCAATGGCAAATCCTTTCAGGATTGACAGTTCGGAGAGTTAAAGAAACTCTTTGACCTCGTTCTCTGACTTGTCCATCCTCTAATAGATCACTTTTTCTTGCCCTATGTAATTTAAGTTAAATAAAATTTTTTTTTAAAATTAACTATGAAAAATTAAAAAATTTCTAACCGTATGGCATGATTCCAAGCATATCGTGCCTCATCTTTAAGTATCAATAAAGATCTTTCTGGTAAATCTATATTTACAACAATTCCTGTTTGAAGGTTTTTAAATTCCATAACTACAGGACTTTCAAGACTGAATGCTAAAACAATTGATCCAAATGAGGAATGACTATCTACGTGAGGTGGGATTCCAGTGCCAATTGGATAATGCTGCACTGTTAATTGCTCCATATTTGATATTGAAGGGTATAATTTCTTTAGCTTTTCAAGAAGTGAATTTACATAAGGTGGAAATTGACGTGATGGTAAGCCAACTTCATTTGAATCATAATTAAATGAGTAACCAAAGTGTAACTACCATAATTAAATTATCAAAAATATATTAAGGTAAAAAAAATTACGTGAATATAGAATATGTAGTAATTAATCCTGAGTGGCGAAAATTTACTGGGAAGGTATACTGTAATTCATTAATGTACGCACTACACTACGATCTTGAACAGGGATCCAAGCGGTGTTTGAATATAGATCTTGTAATATACTTTTTTCTAACTCCACTGGTACGAACTCCTCCAACAAAATAAATCCAGGTATAGTTAATTCATTCGAGTCTTTAATTTGTTTCATGAAACTTTGACAATTCAAATTTCACATATTCAATAAAGAGAACTTTACCATTTAGAAGCTCGCATGGTTTATTGTGAAGAATCTCCCTAGCATATGAGGCAGAAGCTGCGGAATTAAATAATGCAAACGAGTATGGCTGTGTTGAAAGCATGAGTTTCTTAGTATTTAAATACGCAGACAAGAAAGTAAGATTCAATGAAAAAGAGAATAACCTTTCCATGTGTTAATTTTATTCCGGTCAAGCCATCAAAAGTATTAAATACTTTTGATATTTCTTCTGTTGTAACACCTCCAACTCCACCGAAACAAAGATTGGTTATACATAAATATCGCGTAGGTTCTGGCGAAAATAATTGATCAAGCGACGTTCTTTCAAATTTTACAATGACTTCATAAGCTTGATACTTTTTTAATTCAAGCCTTCGAAGTTTGCGTGCTTCATTCCGTGTGAGCGATGTTGTATCGATTGTTGAAATACTTATAGGATAAGGCATGAATAACCTTTCGTGTGATAGCAGAAGTTCGGTTTACTAAATGATCTGCAACTACTAATACAGTCTGCCGATTTACCGAATTAGGGGGTCGTCTAAAGCCCGAGTAGATTAGTGGGTCCACCGAAATTCAGCAAACGACCTGTAGATCACCTCCGATCCAGCTCCAGATTCGATCTAACGATTTGGATCCGGATCTCGGATCGGATCTGAGCAACTCTAATAGAATATTTAATGCCAACTAGCTAATATTATAGCAAAATTGCAATCTGAGCAACTTTACTTAGTAATCAGATAGCGGTTTATTACAATATTAGTAAAATTTAGGTGATTTCGAGCAAAATTTATTGAATCCGGAGCTAGATCGGAGGTGATCTGCAGGTCGTTTGCTGATTTTTGGTGGACCCACTAATCTATTCCACTAATCTATTCTGATATTGCTACGGGTTGGGATCGGGGTCGAGAAGGACGAGAACAAGGCGTTCGCTCATTGTCAAAAAATCGGCTGATATGGATAATCCCAAAGGAATGTCCCAAGTTGGCTATGTTATTATTTGGGAATCGAAGTTGAAAAAGATTAACAGCATTTACATATCATTTGAAGTCAGCTGTCGTTATTTATTTAGTACATGTTCGCGTTTCTGTATAAAAAATGCAATCATTTACTACTTTAAACCTTGCTACATATTAATAATTTATCCTTATAATTACATATAAAAATCATATAATTTTCATAAATTAAAAAATACATAAAAAAATCTTATAATAAAACATTACTTATTATGTATTTAAAGAACCAAAGAAAATAACTACATTTAACCGTTTTCAGGGTAAGGGCGCAGTTTGAGAATAAGAGAGGGGTTAGGTATAATAGTTCAAATTTTAGTTAAAGTTAGGTTTTCATAGAATATCTGACCTTAATTACTTAGTACATTTTTGAGATTACGTATTCTCGACTTATTTTCAAGAGAAAGTAGTCAATATTGATGGTATTCTATTGACAATGAATTATTGATTCCTATAAAATATCCTGATGTAAAAATAACAACCTCTTAGTCAATAATATAAAATTACTACATAATTGGAATTAAAGCCGTTTTTTGTCTTTTTATAGTCAACATTAATATTCGTCTATAATTACTATTCAATTTAAATTGATATTCTTAAATAAGCACAAGTTCACATTGCAATGCAATCATAATAAAATATTTTACTATTTATTATTATTATTT